GGAAAGAAAATAGCAAATGTTGTCAAGGATGCAGACAGCCCTTGTGCCGCCGCCATGGAAAACTGTATGGCAGTTTCTCAAAAAATTAAAAATAGTATTTCTGCGTGATCCAGAAATTCCACTTCTGGGCGTGAACCTAAAAGGATCAAAAGCAAAGACACAAAGGGATATTTGCACATTCGCGTTCATGGCAACATTATTCACAATAGCCAAAAGGTAGGAGCAAACCAAGAGTCCATTGATGGATGAATGGGTAGACAAGATGTGGTATATTCATACGACGGAGCATTATTCAGCTTCAGAAAGGAAGGACAATCTGCCACATGCAACAACACGGATGGACCTGGAGGACATTATGCCAAGTGAATAAGCCAGTCACAAAAGACAAACACTATGTGATCCTGCCCCGCTGAGGTTCCTTAGAGTAGTTAAATTCCTAGAGCCGGAAGATAGAATGATGAGGCCAGGCGGCTGGGGGGAGGGGCGAATGGACAGTTGATCGACGCCAGATGAAAGAAAGATATTAACTGCATAACGTGAATGTACTTAACACTACGAACTGTACACTTGAAAATGATTAAGCTGGTAAATGTCGTTATGTATATTTTACCACAATTAAAAATTACATATTCTTCTGTATAAATAAATTCTACTATTGGCCTGAAAGCCGAAACTAGAAGACAGTACTGTATCCTGTTTATCACTGTACCTACCCCATGCGTACCCAAGGGTCTGACAAATGATATACATTCAACAAAAGTCGGCTGAGTCAAAAGAAGTCCCCCAGAAGCTTTCCCCGCAAAAATGATCAGTCTAAGATTGTCACTGTTCTGCTCAAAAATCTCAGTTCTCTGATCCTAAAATCCTGTTCTCTAAAGAATGAAGGTGAGGGATAGACAGGTGTACAGGAGCCTGCTACACTATCTTTGCATCTCTTCTGTAAGTCCAAAACTTTTCTAAAATAGAACGTTAATTTTTAAAAAATGATGGGTTAGGGGTCTATGGTAGTGTCACGGAGAAGGGCCTATGTGTGCCTCACAAAGCGAAGAAAGGAAACGTTGATGGCCTATCCATCAAAGCACGATTTTGACCAAAAAATAAAAACAAACAGAAAAGGTGCATATGAAAAAAAAAAAAAAAAAGTCCGGAAAGAAAGGACATAGTAATTGCTCAATAAAATAGTAACTAATGGTAACGATTATAATTGTTATTTGTTTTGAAGGATGCCTGCCAAAATATGATCAACAAAAAAGATTAGTGATAATCATCATCATCTCTATCCTTCTAAACATCATCACACAACATTTCTTCAGACCCTAAATGTCAGGCACTGGGCTAACAGAGTGAAGGGCATGCGCCTGACCGGGGGCGTCTAACATTACAGCCCAGCCTGAGAAGCCTCCCGGGACAAGTAATGCAATCACCTGGCTCTTTTCCAGTGTTCGAAACTTTATAGAAACGACTCTTAAGTCATTTTTTTTTTTTTTTAAATCCTGGAAAACCCCCAGTGAAATCAGAAACTTGGTAAGAGCGGAGATTTAATCCTAGTGCTTTGAAAGAGTTGGACAAACGCACGGGGTTCATTCCGATTACAAAGAGAAAAAGCAAGATGCGGCGAGGCAGGTGTCCCTAGTGGTGGGAGCGCAGGCTGGAGCTGTGGGGACCCGGCACTGGCCCTGGCTGTGCCACTGACGAAACGCATGAGCTTGGACAAGTCACTTCGCTGCTCCATGCCTGGGCTTTCTCATCCATAACGTGAGATTGGTTCACAGCACTGGTTTTCAAACTTGAGCAAGCTTCAGAATCACCCAGAGGGCTTTTTAAAACAGATTGCAAGGCTTCGGTCTCAGGGTTTCTGACTCACTAGGTCTGGTGGCAGGGGCAGGGAGGCAAAATTTGCATCTCTAACGGGTTCCCAGGTGGAGCTGATGCTATTGCATCTGGGGCCCCACCTTGAGAAGCACTGGTGGAGAACATCTCTGTCATTGACATTCAAGACTGTGATAAACACGTCATGGACCTCCTCACCCTCTTGAAATCCTTCCTTCATCCATCCACCCTCTATAGATTCATTCATCCATATATTTATACAACAAATATTTTAGCGAGTCATACTATGCATGAAGCTTTTTGCCAGGGGCTCCCTAGTACACAAACAAGACCTCTGGAAAAGCAAATATGCGGATATTGCATTAATTGGGGTGTGCACAAAATACAGTGGGATGAGCTGGCAGCAGACTCCTCATGTGCAGCTGGGAACCTGAAGCCCATGGAGGATGCCATGGCAAGGACGGGACTGCTGCTCGGGAGCCCTGTCCCCAACCGAGATGTCACCTGCTCATCAGGGCAAAAGGCAGAAAGATATTTGAGATACGCACAATAGAATTTGTTCGACAACGATTTGTTGAGCACCACCTATGATCCAGGCACTGTGGCAGGCACCGGGGGTGTAAAACAGTTGATAAAAGACAGTATCTGCTCTCGATGAGTTTCATAGTCTGGTGAGGAAGGCAGGAAATAAATAAATAAATAAACGTAGAAGAAATGTCGGGAAATGTTAAGCGCATGAAGGAAAGTAAAGCAGGGAAGAGGATTGAGGCTGACGATGGGTGTGGTCAGGAAGTGACAGGCAGATACAGAACGGAGGATGGGACGTGTCATCCACATGATTCTCCTGACAAAGGGCTTTAACTAAACAACTAGTCCTCAAAATTAGGGAAGATGAAGAAGAGAGGGAACAATAGCAAGCAGTAAACTTGGCAAAAGATTAGAAAGGTAGATGGATATATAATGGAAGGAAGGAGAGAAGGAAGGTAGGGGGGAGTGAGGAAAATGGATGGATGGATGGATGATGGATGGATGATAAATGGATGATGGATGGATGATAAATGGATGATGAATGGTTGGATGGATGGATGGATGGATGGATGGATGGTGGATAGATGGGTGGGTGGGTGGATGGATGGTGGGGTGTGGATGGATGGATGGATGATAAATGGATGGATGGATGGATGATAAATGGATGGATGGATGGATGATAAATGGATGATGGATGGATGATAAATGGATGATGGATGGATGATAAATGGATGATGGATGGATGATAAATGGATGATGGATGGATGATAAATGGATGATGGATGGATGATAAATGGATGATGGATGGATGATAAATGGATGATGGATGGATGATAAATGGATGATGGATGGATGGATGGATGGATGGATGAATGGTTGGATGGTGAATAGATGGGTGAGTGAATGGATAGACAGATATGTGGATGGATGGATGCATGGATGGATGGATGGATGCATGGCTGATAAAATGCAAACAACACGAGTCTTAATGTGTTGGAAAAATTAAAAGACAGAAATGGGATGGATGAATGGTTGGATGGTGAATAGATGGGTGAGTGAATGGATGGACAGATACGTGGATGGATGGATGCGTGGATGGATGGATGGATGAAGTCCAGTAGATTGATAAACAGATTAATAGAAAGAGAAAACAAGATAAGAAACGTTAAATCCAAATAGATAGGGATAAACTGTCTGGAAATGTGTAATTTACATGCTCTATGACTTGTGATAAAGTTGGAGAATCACGCTGGCGTCGGACTTGAGGGGAAGCAAAGACAGAAAACCTTTTGAGGGTCTCATGGTGAAGAGGTGGGGACCAGCGGACAAGAACAGAAAGAGGGGAGCAAATGCATTCTAAGGTCTATCTCACTGGAACAGAGAGGGAGCAGGAGGACCTGGGCGCAGGAACCCCGTGTCCCACGCGCCCTGCGGGGGGCCGTGCTCTCAGCCACCGTGCTCTGCTGCCCCCCATTATCTGCGCTGTCCTCGCCCTGTCCCCCGTCCTTCCGTGCAGGAAGGGCCATGCCCCTTCATCTTGCCGTCCCCAGAGCCCAGCCAGCGCCTGGTATGGACGATTGAACCGAACCAGACCAAAGGTTCTGCACGACCAACACCAAGTTGGGCGTGGCTCCCTTCTCTGTTGCTCTCTGCAAGTCCCCAAGATCCCTCTGCTCAGCAGGGCTGACAGAAGCACAATGGAGTTAAGGGATTTTGCCTTCTCTGTCACCTGTTACTGTCATACCATCTGCTCTGAAGCAAGGAGCTTATTCCTCTTATTCTCACTCTGTGCAAATATTGACAGCAATGGGGGCTCAATCCTCCCCTTTCAGCCTCCTGGTCTGGTAAACAGGGACGATGGCACCCACCACAGGGACTGCTGCGAGACTGAAAACGTTCCGCTAAGTGACAGAAGCGAGTCACAAAAATGACATATTATATGATTCCATTCGCAGGGAACGTGCAGCCTAAGCAGCTCTAGGAAGCAAAAGCAGATTAGCGGTTGCCGGGGACTGGGGGACGATAAGAAATTTGGGGGGGGGTGACAGCTAAAGGGTACAGGGTTTCTTTTCGAGATGATAAAAATATCTTAACACTGACTATGGCAATGGTTGCATATCGGTGAAGACACCGAAAGCCACTGGGCTGTGCACTTTAAGTGGGTGGATCATGGAGTATAAAGACTATACCTCAATAAAGCTATCTTTCAAAAAGAAGAAATGCTGGGACGAACTGACGTGGAGCTTGCTGCACCTGGGCAGGGACAGAAGTCCAAGGAAGCAAGGGGTGTCTGGGAGGGGCTGTCCCATGAAGATCAGCACGTGCCCTGCGGGAGGAAAGCAAAGCGAAGCCCAGAGCAATGCCCGTGAGCTTGCGCGGCTGCCCACAAGCCAACGGGGTGGGCTGGACTCCCACAGGGCCCCGCCCTGACCACGCCCTCCGCCGCCGCACCCGATGACGATGAGGATGATGATGACGACGGCACGCCTGCTTTTTCAATCCCGCCAGCCATCCTTGAGTGGCTTCTCGCGAGTCCCGGCTGTCCTGCCAGACTGCGGGCTCCCTGAGCACAGGGACCGGTGCATCTTTGTGGCCTTCACCCCTGTCCTTCCCACCTGCCTCGGTCTCTGCCGCCGAGCCCCACGGCTCCGCTCCCTGTTCACACCCATCTCTCTCAGCAACCGTCACTTTCCCACACGTGGAGACAGCTTGTTTCCAAAACCCAGCCCGTGCCTGGTACGGACGGGTCACTGGGCTCCCGACCTCTGTCTCCAGAGGTTGTACAGACACATAAGCAGCGCACGGCTGCCCCTTTACTTCCGGTCTCTTAAGGGACAATGAGCACAGGGCTCTCAGCAGCCCCCTCCCGGTGTGGCTTGCCGGGGGAGATGCGGTGTGTCGCAAACATGGGTGTGTCTCGCTTTAAGAAAAAAGCACTGCGTAAAAAGCCGATCTTATAAAAAGAGTAAATTTGGGGGTGATTATTCACACACACACACACACAAAGAAGCACTGTGACAAATAACTGGGCCCATTCTCCCAACGTACTGTATTAATAATACTCCTCTGGGTTTGAGACAGGACAGAAACAAGAAAGAAAAACAAAGCTACCTTTACTGCTGCAGTCTTTTAAGAAATTAGAAACAGAAGAGATACACGAACCCCGTCATCAACAGGACAAAACACTAGTTACTGGGTCGCCACGTCACTGCCCACACCGCACCAGTGACATCCAGGCTGCTGTGGCGTGTTCCGGAAGAAACCAATCTCTTAGCAAACAGAGGAGCTGCATTAATAACCCATTATTTCTACCACATTTTTTAAATAGGTCAATATTTTTTGTTCCAAAGGAAGTTAGAAGCACTCTCCACGTGCTGAATATAAAATGGAGTCATTTCAATTAAGCTGCTAAATTATTAGCTTTATGAAGGTTGAGGCATGAGGAAACAATTCTTTTGGGGTGGGGTGGGGGGAGGTCTTAGTGAGTCTGAGAACTTGAACTTTGGAATTCTCCAGCCCTGAGTCAATACCGAGATGTACACTAGTTTGTTGTGCCGATGCCCAGACATACACGGACCTGCAGGGAGCCTCCTGACGACCCCCTAGAGGACTCAGGACTCAGGACCAGACCTTCCGGTGCCCATCCTCCAGCCCACCTGGCATCCATCATTCAGCCCACCTGGCATCTGACTGGCTACTGTCCTGGGCCAATCCCAGGGCTAGGAAGGCAGGGCTGATAATTCTCAAGAATGTACTTTTTATGATAAGAACCCCTAACTTCTTTTTCCTTCAGAACACTTCTGGGGTTTGGCCTAGTTGTAATTCCACATTGGCCAACTCTAAGATCCTTGAATAAATCTTTGTCGTTTCTTTCTAGATAAATGTGCTAATAAAGACTTCCTTGTGCTAAGTCAACAGGAGTCTTTACCTTCCCACACCCAGCAGGTGGGACAGCAGATTTCCTGCTCAAGGAAAAGCCTCCCAGTCCATACCCACACATAAAAAAAACTTTCTCTGGAAAACCTCAGTGCCCAGAATTCCACAGGTTGGCTCTTTCCCAAAGCCCCAGACTTCCACGACTGTCACAGAAGCCAGGGCAGAGCTAAATCAAACCTGTCTTTCTAGCTGCGATTCAGTCCCTGCCTCTCGCTTCTTCGATGAACCACAGCTCATTGAGATGGAGGGACGGCGCTTCGCAAACCGTGTTCACGCAAACATCTCTCAGCTTCTCCTGGAGAGGCAGTCAGGCTTCTCAGTTTACTGATGAGGAAACCAGGCCTGAGAAATTGCTATTGATGGAGCTGAGAAGCAAGCTAAGCTTTCCACGGCCAGCACCATTGTCACTCTCCACGTGCTGCGCTTCAACGGCTACGTTATCCTGGGCCGGCTCGCTGAGCATCGAAACAGTCGCCATTACTGAACACCTGCTGTACGCACGCTCTGTATCGCCTCGTGCACTATCGCTGCTCGGCGTCGAACGGACATCTCGAATGTAACCCAGCCACGAGAGAAACTTCGATTCTGGGTCCCCACATCTGCTTCTCCCTCCATCTTCCCCGTCCTCAGAAATGGCCCCACCCTTCATTCACCCACTTACTCAGGCCCCAGTGCAGAAAGACTCCCTTGAAGGAGGGAGAGAGTGAGGAAAAACAGGGGAGAGAGGGACAGAAGAAGGAAGGGAACGAGAAGAGAGAAAGGAAAAAAAAAGAGGGATGGAGGAAGAGGGGGAGGGAGGGAAGAGAAAGCAAAGGAGGAAAGAAGGGAGGTGGGAATGGGGAGGGGTGAAGGAGAAAGGAAGGGATGGATAAGGAGGAGAAAGAAGGAACGAAGAGAAGGAAGAACAGAAGGATGGAGGAGAAAGAAAGGAGGGCGGGACAAAGAAGGGATCCTTCCACGACAGGAAGCATAGGTCAAAAGCCTGTGTCCGTAATATTGTTTTTAGCCCGCAGAAGTCAGTATCCCCAAAATAACATCTCATTCCTGCCATTCACGGCGAGTCACAAAAACCATGAATCTCCCTAAAACGACCATCTTCGGAACAGGAATGTGGGCCACCCTGGAGTCGTTACCAGCTTTTCCAGAGGTAAGATGAGCTAGACATAGTTCCTGAGCCTAAGAAACCTGAAATGTCATCTGGATGACAAGGCTCATATCTAATTAGTGATAATACAAGGCAGAAATTGATGAGGACCAAAAAAGCTCTACACGGGGAGCCGCGGAGGGAGCGGTAACTCCTGCCAGGTGGGTGAAGGGGGCATTGGGGCCAGACACTTGAAGAGGTTGTGGGTGGGAAGGAGAACAAATGTGTGCTGGGCACCCGCCCTGTGCCCGGCCGTCATTGGCCCTACCAAGTGTGCGATTCTTATTCTACCCTTGCTGAAACTAGCTGGGTGGGCGGATCAAGGAACTTAATCCTCTATACCTGTATATCCCTCACTTTTATTCTTTAGAGAACAGCATTTTAGGATCAGAGATTAAGGAACTTGCTCAAGGTCATGCAAAGAAAGGAAAAGCTACACTCGAAGTGAGATGTAAATTCAGGCCTCCCATGAGAATTCAGTTGGTTGTGATGTGTCTGTACCCAGCGTCTCCCATGAAGGTTGCACAGACAGCGTTCTCCACAATCAGACTCCCCACCACACCTTCCCTTTGACCTACTTTGTATCTATCTCCTTTTCAAGAGTGGAAGCTCCTTGAAGATGGGAGGGTTCCCATCTCAACAATGTTTCAATCAATATGCGGCCAGTATCTAGGAAGCAGCGGCTATCCCCCGCCGTGGGAAAGTTTATCTGTTCATTCATTACTTCGTCCATCCCAACTGCACTTTCTTAGCTCCTACTCTATGTCAGGTGCTCTGGTGGCTCTAGGACTAAGAGATGAGCATCGTAGAGCTCCCCCAGTGCGACAGAGCGGACAGAAGTGTCAACAAGAAGAACAGTGTCTACTCAGGGCACAGTGAGGGATAAACTGTAGTCAGAGGCTCAAAAGTGAGGGGTAGGTCAGAAAAGCATCGCTCGGGAGATTAGGGTGGTTGGGGAAGGGTGCTGAGCCCTGACTTGGACAGCAAGGCAGGTGACATGCACTCCAGGAGGAGGGTACAGAATATGCAAAGTTATGGGAGCATGAACTATTGGGCCAGATCCTAGCAGGCCTTGAATGCCAGGATAGGGAGTGCGGCCTCCAGCAGCGGGTCAGTGGATCCACTGCAGGGCTTCGAGCCAAGGAAAGATGGACAGCTTTGTGTCGCCGTAGCTCTAACAACGGAATGTAAGTCAAGAAGAGCCTCAAGTCGTGGAGAGGCGGCTCCTGCCATCACTCAGGCTTACCGAAGAAAGGGGAGAGCCGGAAAAGCCGTGCAGGAAGACAGAGACCCAGGAGGGTCCGCGGAGGGAGTGGAGGGAGGAAGGGGCACTCACCGCGCAGCCAGCGCGCGCCGGCGTGCGTGTCCTTGAGGCGGAGGAGGCGGCGGTGCGCGGCGCGGCGGCGCAGGTACCACAGCATCCAGAGCAGCTGCAGCAGCATGAGCGCCGAGAGGAAGCAGAGCAGGGCGCTCTTGCCCACGCCCGACGCGTGCACGGCCCAGGCCAGCAGGAGCAGCAGCCCCGCCACGAACACGTTCAGCCCGTGCTGGCTGCTCAGCGCCTCGGCCAGCTTCTGCGGGACGCCGGCCTGGACCGGGGCCCCCGGGCGTGCGGGCCCCGAAGGCCTGTCCGCTGCGCTCCGAGCCGCCTGAGGAGGGGCGGGCGCCCCGTGGCCCTCGGGCATCACGGCGGGACCCGCACTACGTCTGGTCCCCGCGGGGGCTGTGGCCTGGGTCGCACCTGCTGCTCCCGCCTCTAACGCTGGCCCCGACGCCCTCTGCCAGTCACTTGCTCTCTCGATCCCCCTCCGACGCCTGCTTTCCGCGCTTCTGCCCCTCTGCCCGCGGGGTACCCGCCCGGTCCACTCACCACCGTCCCCCACCCGGCTGACCCGGGCTGACCCTGGCTTTTTCCCGCTCCCGATGCTCACCCCGCGATGCCCGGGGCAGCGCGCCCGCCCACTCCGCGACCCACGCGGGCCGCTCCGCGCCCCTGATGCCTCGGACCCGAGCCAGCCCTGCGCCTTCGCCCGCGCGTCCTCCCGCTCCTGTCCCCAAGCGCCCGGCCCCCGCCCACTGTCCCCAGCCCTGTCCCCTGCCCCGTCCCTGGCTCTGACCCGTCCCGGGGCTCCGGGCCCAGGCCCCCGTAACCCTGGCTTGCGACAGATGCCTCCCGCCGGCTCGCGGAGTGGGCGTGGGGCACGAGGGAGTCGCCCCGAGCGAGCCCGGGGGAGTGGGCGCGTGTGGCGCCCCGGCCTCTGCGGGTGCGTGCGCTGCCCCGGGCTGTCCCTGAGCGTCTGCGTCGCGGACCGCAGAGGTTTAGATGAGCCTGAAAGTGTCCGTGTGCGTCTGTCTGTCCTCGTCCCTGGGTATCTGTGCGATGTTTTCCCTCTGCGGGTCTGTCTGGCCTGCTGTCTGTGGGTCTCATAGCTTGTTCCTAAATCTATGAATAGGAGGAGGGCGTGTCTTCTTGTGTCTGTGTTTGTCTTGTGTACCTGCTGGGAGCCGCCCAGATGCGGATAAGACAGGAGCCACTTCCCAAGAAAACAGATAATCTCTCGACCTCCTCCAAAGGAATGGGGAGCTGCCCCAGGAGCCATTGGAGCTGGGGTGAGGGTGTCCGGGGTTCTCCCTGGAACCCGGGGCGCCGAGCGCTTCCCTCAGCCCCCAGACTGCCAGAAGCTGATCTCGTCAGCCAGAGTGCCGCTCAGATGCCCCTAAGGGGACTTCCCGGGAGGTTTCTGCAAAAGAAACCGTCCTAAGGGCGAGTGAAGCTGAGAGCAGGGCTGGAGCAGGGAGCTGCGGGGAGCTGCGGGGAGCTGCGGGGAGCTGCTGGGGAAGGAGCCTGGGAACGGGCAGGCAGGGCCAGCCACCTGTGCCGAAACGAAGGGCTCAGCTCGCAGGAGACACCCCTCCTCCGCACCTTAACGCTCCGCTGTTGCCCTCCTGAAATTCTTTTTGAACTGGGGACCCACGTTTTCATATTGCAGTGGATCCAGCAAACGACATAGCTAGTTCTGACTACAGAGGATCCTGGCTGCGGGGGAGCTCTGGGCCAGGAGGGAGTCCACCTGGGGATCGTGTCTTACCTTCATTCATTCATTCATTCATTCGTTCATGTGGTCAACACTTATTTAACTCTGAATTGCTTGCCAGGATCTAGGCGCAGAGGATACAGCTATGAAAGACCATCCTCACTGAGCCATTCTGGTTGAGACACACTCAGTGGGCAAGTATCTACTGAGCCCTCACTGGGAAGCTGCAGAAATCAATGTGAGACTCAGCCCTGCCTTCCAGGAGCTCATGGCCCAGTGGAGAAGACAGAACAAGCTGTCCCCGGGAGCAGGGTGCCTGCTCAGACGGGAGACTCAGATGAGCCCCGAGTCTGCCAGGAAGGGCGAGAGGTTCCCAGAGGAGGCAGCACCTGCACGGGTCTTTATAGCTAGGAGGAGGAGCCGGCCAGGCAGCATGGGGCAGGGCAGGGCATTCCAGAGAAAGGATGAGTACGTGCACAGAAATGAGTGTGAAAAGGCTGGTGGTGACCAAGAAACACATCCACCAGCTGGGTGTCCCCAGAGCCAAGCCACGCGGATGCTCAGTAATAAGCCAAGGAGTTAACGAATGCACAAATGCATGCACGCTGTGTGAACGAGCAAGGCGGCCTTGGTCTCCTCATCATGAGGGAGGGTGTCGGACTCCGTGATGAGTCCTCCCCACTGTGCTCGAGCCCCTTACCTTGCCTTGTTTTCTTCCTTAGCACACGTCGTTACCTGGAAGGGGTGTACATCTGCGACCTGGCTCTGTGATGACAACTCTACCAGGACAGTGCCTGTCCTGTCCACTGCCGTATTGTCCAGGATGCAGAACAGTGGGGCCCAGCACACAGCAGGTGCCCAGTAAATGTGTCGAGCTGTGTCCCCCCAAAGATGTTGAAGTCCTAACCCTGGTTCATACCTGTGACCATTATTTCTTTGCCAATGACCAAGGGGAGGTCATTAGGGTGGGCCCTCATCCTGTATGGCTGTGTCCTTACGAAAAGGGGGAATGTGGAGACACGCACGTACAGAGGGATGATGCCGTGAAGATACAGAAAGAATGCCATCTGCAAGCCGAGGAACACCTGAGACTTCCAGAAACCAGGCGCGAGGTCTGAAACAGACCCTCCCGCAGAGCCAAGTGCTGCTTTACCCCCGTCCTCCGCAGGGGGGGTTGTTGGTGAGTATCCACATGAGATGCAAATCTTCACACTCTGAATTCATTCTGAGAAGTCCATCCACATGCTTCTCCCCCAACATTCAGTGGTGAGAATGTCCCCTAAGGTCACCAATCTTCCAGTTCCAGTCACTGGCCATCTAGCCAGACTGGTGGCCCGTTAGCAGCCACCCTGAGTTAACGGAGATTCGTACTCCACACATCTCGCAGTCCGGACCAAGTGGATGGCCGAGTGTACCGCTCAGCAGGCGGCCCGCTGGCTTTTCTTCCACGCCTTCCCTCTGGGGCCACCCCTGGGCAGAGCTGTAACGCCGCAGCTGTCCACGTGGCTGGACATCATATTGCGATGGTTGGTGCCATCGCATGGTGCAGAACCTCCTGGAAACTAAGCCCGAGCTTTCTCTCCTCAAGTCTGAGACTCACCATGGGACCACAGGTGTGGAGGAAAGGGGACAGGGCAGCAGGAGTCGGTCTCGCAGGGCCCCGAGCCACCTGCACGTGTGGCCTACTCATGGTTTCCAACCTCGCTCAAGTTCAAGTCTTACATGCTCTATTTACCCAACAGTGTATCACTGCTGAGCATGCCCGGCCTTGTGGTTTGGTGGATCGGATGGCGTCCAGTTCGGGCCACAGTTCGGCGTTCAGCCCAGTAGCAAGTGAGAAGTTGTTTCTCAAAGGGAAAAACCTGCGGAAGAGGGGTGGACGCGCTCTAACCCGCGACGTGTGCCGAGACTCTCCTGTCGGTTCGTGCCGGTCTCCATGCCACGAAACCACTGGCGACGGGCACTTTGAGTGTCGTTGGCTTTATGGGGTTATAAGGCCCAAGTGGTAGAACAGCTTGAACTACAGCCTGCTCCTGCTCGGGGGCCTCGTGGGCTCCTCAGTGGCCAGGTCAGTCACACATTCGGACGTGGTGGCTGTTGCTGGCAACATGTAGAAATCTCCCTCGGCGTCTCTCTGTTAGCTGGGAGGTCACGCAAAGGGCAGCGTCTGTCTTTCCCCCTGGACTGAATTCTGCCCACCTGAGAGGACAGGACCTGGCTCCCCCGACCCCACCCCACCCTGAGCCCCGAGCAAGGAACGCAGAGCCACTGCCGTCTTGATTTTAGCCCAGTGAGACCCACACCAGACTGCGAACCGTGGAACCGTAGGATAATTCATTTCTGTTGTTTTTTAGCTATTTGTGGCAATTTGTTACAGTGGTGACAGAAATCTATAAAAGTTCACCTTTGGATCCTAGAAACTATGCTTTGAGGAGCAAGCTGCCCCACGGAGCGGTCAATGTGGAGAAATCGGCCGCCAGCACCACCTTGCCCTCCGCGAGGGCGCCCTCGGAAGTGGATGGTCCAGCCTGTCACCCCACATGGAGCAGAAACAAGCTGTTCCTGCAAATTCCTGCTCAAATTTCAGATCTGTGAATAAAATAAATGATGGCGGTCATTTTAAGCCACTTAAGTTCTGGTGTGGCTTGTTATGAGCAGTGGATAAGCCGAACATACAGACACGAGGCCAGGAGATGTGGCCAGCGGGGAGTCCCAGGCTTCCTGTGGTGACCAGCGTGACAGGGATAAAGGGATTATGAAAAGAATCCCGATGGTCTGAGAGGCGGTCAGGCCGAGTACTGGGGGACAGGGAGGGTGGCAGAGGGCGTGGTGCGTGCAGCAGGCTGAACCGGGGCCAGTCCTGCCACTGGGGGGTGGGGGCGGGGAGGGACCAGGTCCCCGAGGTCCTTTTCAACTCCTCTTTACTGCACACGTAAGGGAGCGTGATATACACCCTTGTGCACCCATATGCCAACATTTTTTAAAGGAGAGGCCCACAGATGCTATAAAGGAACCCAAGAATATGGTTAAGAACTGGAGAAGCATGAGGGGCCTGACTGGAGTGTGTCATTTGAAGAGGGAAATCTGGCCACACATTTGTCTGCTGACAGGAAGGCTGCCTCTCAAGGCATCGTGAACATACCCAAAGCGAGGTACTGAAAAGGTCTGTAAAAGCTGCAGCTACACTGAAGGCTGCGTGCATGGCTTCAGACATAAACCAGGCGCACATGACAGTTCTGCACAAATGCGGAAATCCTGTTCAATCTCAGAGCTGAACCCGAGACTCGGATGAGAGTTCCTTGGCCCTCTTAGGAGTAATTTACTCTCCTCTTCAACTCCCAATCGTCCCTTTAAAATTAGTCCTTAGTGTGTACAAAATGTCCCGAATGCTCTGTCATTCAATTATTTTTATGAATTCCACATAAACAGTTCCTAGAATCCCCCAAACTCTTTCCTGCCTCAAAGAATACTGAGCTGCATCAGACTTTCAAGAAAAATGTTTTTAAGTGAAGGGCGTTTATCCTAACTGTGGCAGCTGAAGAGGGGCATCCGGTAACTCCTGTTATGCAGACCCCCAGCCCCTCCCCCGGAAACTACCCCGCTTACAGAGGTGTGGCTCTCAGCTTGACTCCGATTCCGAGGCATCTTTTGCTTAAGTAAAGCCAGACCTTTGTAGTTGTTGCATGAAACCAAAGAGCCCTGATACAGCCAGGATCCTAAGTCCTCTTAGGGTCCCCCAGAAAGACCACCGCCTCCCCAGCCAGGTCCTGGACACAGATGTGGTGGGGAGTCTCGACCTGGTTTTTACCTAGTGGGTTAAGTTAGATCCCATCATCTCGATGTTCCCTGCCCATGTGAACGTTCTAGCTTTGCAGCGATGTCTCTATTGACATCTGGAGGAGAGTTCTCGACCCGGTGTGCACGCTGGAATCGACAGGATTCTTCCAAAAACTGAATCAGAACCTTGGGACAGCAGGTCTGGGCAACCAGTGCACAACTCAGGTTGAAAACTTGGCCTTGACACTTGGGACTGTCAAAGTCAGGGACATTTTTAAGAGCACACACCTACTTCTACCGTGCCCCTGGCTTTCATGAGAAGGATTTCCAGCAGTTACTATAGTTACTCATTAGTCTTAAGAACTGGCCCTCCTCCCAGACACTTGTTCAGAAGCAGTAACAACATTCCTTGACACTGTTTTTATTTAGTTAGTAGTTATAACAGGAAAAAACCCATAAATAATCTGCATACCAGTTATCTAACAGAAACAGGGACCAGGCAGGATCCTGTTCAAACAGATTTACTAAAATGTAAACAACCTCCTGTGACCAGCATTGGCATCTGCCTGACTGGGTTTTAACAAACAATATTAAACAGAAAATCCAGCCTTAGATTTCTATCCAAGCAGTAAGACTACTCTGCAAGAAAGAGATAAATGGATGGATGGATGGATGGGATGGATGGATGGATGGGATGGATGGATGGATGGATGGATGGATGGATGGATGGTTGGATGGATGGAAGGATTGGATGGATGGAAGGATCGGATGGATGGATGGATGGACTGATGGATGGGATGGATGGGATGGATGGATGGAAGGACTGGATGGATGGAAGGACTGGATGGATGGATGGATGGATATAGGTAGGCGGATGGACAGAGGTCGGTGGCAAGATGGATGGAAGGAGGAGGGAGGGGAGGATAGCTATTCTCCCTTGCAGAATCCATCCAGGCAGGCAGACAGAATTTATGGGAACTGTCACTGGAGGACTGTCCTCTGCCCCCGCCTCCACGTTCCCTCCAGTGGGCCTGAACCCACGCGCTCTCTAATCCTAACTGCCAGGGTTGGCAACCTCATCCCTGCACATCACTGACTCTGGCCTTGTCTCTTACTGTTCACACTCTCACGTGCGCATGCGCACAAACTGGGCTTGGTTCTGCCTGTGGCCCATGCTGGCCTCCTCCGCCTCCTGATCCCCGGTCCCTTGTCTCTCCTCCTCCACCGCCATTTACTGAGCAAGCACCTGCTGGGCGCCAGGCACCACAGTCGGTGTGCTACCAACACCGTCCCCATTATCCACGATCCACGAGAGACACTGTTCCCACTTCGCAACTGCAGACATACGGGGTGGGCGGTGGCAGGTGCTGGGTGCAATCTGAGCCAGGTACGGTAGGGGCTGACTCAGACCAGCACTGGATGTCCCTCCACAGGAAACAGAACCAACACCGGGGACTTCCTATGTCACAGTCCTTGCGATGCTGAGGTCTCATGTGAGCATATTTGCATTTGAAAACGTGACTGCTGTCTTCCCAGAGGTCTCTGAAGAGCAGAGTGGCCTTCTCTAAAAAAGAAGCCTTATTTCTACAGTTAACTCCATGTGCTAATTCGCTGAAAACAGAAACTATTTCAAAATCTGTATTAATAGAACCCGCAAGAAAGTTAAAAAACATTTTATTAAAATGGTAAGGAAAAAATTATGCATACTTAAAAATCATTAAAAGTTCACATTAAAATGCTAAAAACCCAATAATTTACACAATGATAAAATCTAAAGTGATGGGAATGCATAAAAATACGTTCAGTTGGTCCTTAACAAAACCATCATAAACATGAGATCCGCAAGACACCATCGCTCCGGCACGCGCACGCGCACACCCGCCACCTCCCACAGTGACCTGCCACCGCTCAGTGAGGGAGCAGCTCAATCTACGATCCCGGGAGGACATCGTGCACTTAAAAGAAACTTACAATTCTTACGCCAATACTGTCTTCGACGATTCGAACAGATTGACATTGCAAATTAGTTATTTCCATTCTAAATAACATTTCTATTTTGATTCTGAAAAATTCAATAATCGCTTGAGTTTAAGAATATGCAAATGAAATTTATTCTGAGTTCAATCAGAGATCTATAAAGTCACAGTTTTTCCCAGGAAATCACTCACTTCAAGACGCAGAGAACTACTGCAGCTCTCCCACTACGTCTGCAATGCTTTCCGTAGCTGGATTATAAGTAGCTGGATGTGTAATCATTCGCTTTAAGTGGACGTGCCCTTAAACCTGAAAGAGAACCAGCATTTATGCCCCGAGTGAGACATCCTGTCTCAGTGATGCATTTAATATTAAAAAGCACAGTTCAACCTACATGCCCACAACGCCAACTGGGTCTCCATCACCAACGATAAGTTCATGGCAGCAGTAAGTCCAAACTCTTGAACATGTGTAAAAACTCAAAACTGAACAGCCAAAGATTTAACAACATGGTCAGAGGAGGGAACGTTCTTGAGGTGACACACGTGAACAAGGAGAAAGGGCGTAATATGAGAGTCCCAGTGGTCCCCTCCGCAGCACTATGCGCGCAGGGGACGCTACGCATCAGCACGGTCACCTACGTGCTGGTAACTATTTTCAGACCGGCAGCAGCGAGGTTACACCATTACTTCTTTACGTGGCTGTAGTTGAGTTTCCTCTACAACTCCAAACGGACAACATGCCGTCTCTGTCCGCTGAAACGTCCATTTTCTTTAGCACTCCAATAATTTACTTAGTGTATTAACTTTTACTTTTCTGGGCCTAATTTTCATACTGTAAACAGATGTATGGAGTGGATCTCCTCCCAGTTCTGATGCAAGCAACATGCAGAAAGGGACTATCTCTGTCTTTTTCACCACGTCCCTACGCATACAGAGGGCGTACTCTCCATACACGCTTATTTAGTAAGTGAGTTATCTGACGTCAGCAAACAGGCCCCAGGGCGTGAGGAAGCAGGTCTGTGGTCTCGGGGGAGGCAGACATTCTACAAATAACACGGAAGGAAAAGGCTGATGGGTCATCCAACAAATTTTTATGAGGTAGCCAGAACAGTTAGAAATGGCAGAATGTTTTTCTCCTCATGTGGGTAAAACTGCCCGTTCTGCCAGTATTCTCCTTACGAACGATCTGGCCAAGTCCCTTGTTGATAAGTTGACTGAAGCTGACTTCAATAGAAAATGGTCTGATGTGTGAATCTGTCTATACTGCGAGGGCAAACGCTATCTTGGTGAGAGCACTGAGCAGGACTCGGAACTACATCACACAAAAGGGAAGGGGTCTCGGTCCCTTTTATCTGAGTTCCATGGACAGCTCTGGTCGGAACACGACCGAAGTGAGTTCACAGGAGTCTGTTACTGCTGTGTCACCTGAAAACTGTCATGAAAGATATTTTTCAAGTGAGGCCATTATTAGAAATGCCATTCCAGAAATCTTACCTTTGTAAATCATCCGAGGAGTGAGATCAACATTACAACCCCCATAAACTGAGTAAACAATAACAGTGGGGTGAAAAACGACCACACGTGCCATAAAGCGATGTTGAAGCTGAAAAGAAAAAAAACAGGAAAGACGCGGTTGACGATTCCAGCTGTGATCTACACGTGCGTGATCTTTTTTTTTTAATTTATTTTTTTGGCGAGGCAGCCCTCGGTTAACCTCACAGATTGCAAGGACCTTGTCAGCTTACAATCCCTTATTTTTTATTTTTGACGCCTACAGCACCTGGTCTTCCTAGGTGGTCTCTCTTAACCAAGTATTAACCAGGCCCGACCCTGCTTAGCTTCCGAGATCAGACGGGATCGGGCTCATTCAGGGTGGCGTGGCCGCAGACTACATGTACACATTCTATTGTAAAATCTAGATGTGAAGAACTCACTTTCACTCAGTTTGAGACGGTTCATTCAACTATATACAAAAATAAACGTTGCTAGGTGAATGAATATACATATCTATATGTGTGTGTATATACATACATATCTATGTGGTTTCTACATGTATATAGTTTATATATATGGGGGGGGGGATTTTTTCTCTCTCTCAGAGACGTGATTTAGCCAATATTGGAAATGTGACAATCTCTTCAAAAAGCACTTGGAACTGGAATCACTGCGGGTCTTGTGATGAGAGCCGGCTTAACAGAAACTTAAGTCTGTAAAGTGAGTGTCTGCAATGGAACAGGAAGGGAAGTGGCGAGGGCCTGCTTTCACTCTCTCACACACTACCAAACTTTCATAGTAAAAAGACGGTTAAAAGCATTTTGCTATTTAAAACAGAATAAAAAAGTAATAATTTGAAGTTGCTATTAAATTTTCCATCGAGAAAAACACTATTTCTGTCACCAAGGTAAGAATAAAACACATTCCAAGTGCAACTCATTTTTATGGACTGAATTCACAAGAGTAGAAGTTAATTAGGGGAAACTACAGTCAATGAAATGCTTCAGACAGCTACGGATTTTAATGTGTAATATTTTGATAAGCAGAACTTTAAAATAGCTATAATTATACTCTTCTGAAAAATAAAATAACATTTCTTGGGGTGATGTACACTACCACATCTGTCTACCCACATCCCTGAAGGGTTAACAATAACCAGGTCACAACATCACATACACCAGACATCTGTACCTTTCAACTACAGAAAATAAATCATTAAAAAGCATACTTTTAAACTAAGTACAAAAGCATTTGCTTTTTCCAAAATCAAATTCACTTAATATAAAGGAAAAAAATTAATGGGCTAAAAATCTATAAAGAGCAGTTTTTCTCTCTGGCTGGCAGGCTCCTGGGATTTGTTTCCTTTTTCAGTAATTAACAGATTTTTCTTCAGTAACCAAGTATACTTTTATAAACATTAAAAAAAAATTGGTGTTTTTTCATTGAATACCTATTCACTTATGAAGACTATGAACTTGGCATTGTTTGTAACAGCAAAGGAATGAAAACACGGGGAGTCCGACACAAACACGGGGGAGCCAGTGAAACACCCCACGGCCTGTCCACACCGCGGGAACCATGTAACCAGTTACATGTAACCAGCTACACGGACGAGGCGCGTCTACACGCACCCACGTGGAAGACCTCCAAGCTACATGGCTCCGTTAAAGAGAAAAACAGTGAGCGATCCACCGTACACCAGTCTGGCCACTCGCTGCATTGAGGCTGGAGGTGCGTGTACCCAACTGCGCTCTTCTAGCGATAAATATACACGCCCATGTGCGTGCGTGCGTGTGTACACACACACCCAACAGAAACACACGCAGGCTCACAAGAGACAGAGACTCCAGTGTTCTTAACAGCAGCACTGATAACACCAAACGAGAGACGAGCCAAGTGCTATCGACAGTCGACCAGACTGGGATTCGGTAACGGGCTGGAAGGCTGAACGGTAAACCACCGTGATGCACAACAATACGGAGGAATCACACAGAACGCTGCAGGAAAACAGCCAAATGTAAAAGCAAACACACTGTACGAGTCCATCTCTACAGTTAAAAAACAGACGAGAGTAGAGATGCGAAAGCAGTTACATAAAGGTCGGGCCAGCGTTATCTGTGGGCAGGAAGGGCAGTGCGGTGACTACGGGGAGGCATGAAAGGGACCGATCACCAGATGATGGCGCAGGTCTCTTTCCCGACCTGGGTGGGATTTGCGACAATGCTCATTTCATAACAATTCATTCAGTGGTACGATTTAGTTTTTCCTGCCTTCTCTATGTATTATTTTACAATGAAAATGATTTAAAAAGCAAAGCGCAGACGATACCTAGTGTGTCCCCATGTGTTTTAAATAACTAAATATATAAATAAACATATTACTGAAAAAGGAATCAGAGACTAGAAATGACAGGGACGCTATTTCCCCGTTATTACTTTCTTTCCTTGTGGATTGTGTACCATGTACGTCAGTACCTGATCGACAAAGTTTTTATTCCTAGTCACTTCAGAGTGAACTTACCAAATCCCCGCTACGATAAAGGCGGCGGTTGTAATGGGTATCAAGGCTGGATACCTGACGTCGTAATCCCCAATTCCGTGATACCACTCCAGATAGAGGATGCAGTAAAGCGCGATGGACAGGCTGACAAGCAACAAGGCCCCACCGAAGAGAAACCAACTGCAGAGACAAAAACAGTGTCACGGCTGACGGCGCCTAGCAAACCAGCAGCTGTCTTCCAAGTTTTCGCTGACGGCCTAAAGACTATCAACTAGAATGGGGACGCAAAGGGACCCCCGTTCCTTATTCTCGGCTTTCGGAAAGTCTCGACCTAATGGGGTGAGAAAGGATGAGACTGAGACATATGAAAGGATGAAAAAGTTAAGACTTTAACGACACGCGTTCATATACTTTCGTAAACCAACCAAAAAAGAACCCTGGGTACGGCAATGCGTCTTCTTTAAAAATGCAGGAGAGAGAGCTTTTCACGCACCCCTGAAGCTGTGAGTGTGGAACAGAGGTGCCTCTGACGCCACCCAGCTAAGACAGGGTTTCTCAGACCGTTGAAATCCGTTTGCAAGACGGTGAGTTCGAACTGCCCCTCATCGACGATTTCTAAGTGGACCCCTCACACTGCTGGAGCTCCAGCCCTCCACGGGGCGGGGTCTCTGCGTCACTTCTGCCTTTACCCTCCACGGGGCGGGGTCTCTGTGTCACTTCTGCCTTTACCCGAGACCTGACTCCGAGTGTGAGGCAACCCGTCAGCCCCCTCGTGCCAGCCCACCGGTCACAGGGCGTCAGTGTGGGGGAACGAAGTCCCTTTTCCAGTCTCCCCACCGACCCAATCCCCCCCCTTTATCTTTTGCTTCTGCGTGGGGGGGAACACTGGCACTCCATGTACAAGACAGAGGGGACACGGACGGCAGGAACAGTCGAGTGGGCTTGCAAGCACGCAAGGTTCCAGATCCCCCGATGGCATTTTACGAGGATGCGGCTCCGCGATTCAGAACTATGAGGCAGTGCATGCCGCGGTGAGGGGCCACCCTCCGATCCCGTCTGTCTGCGTTTGCCTCCGGCGCGACTGCCTTTGTGGCCGGGCACGGCGTGGGCACGGGGTGCCCTCCGCATGCCTCTGAAACCCTGACAGCTGTGAGGGCGAAACCATCCCGAGCGTGCTTCTCACGCAGCTGGCCCCCAACGGCGATGTCATCTCGGGGAAGATATTTCCACGCTCCTTTCTGGGGCTCTTCTGCTCGAGGGCATTCTCAGCAGGCGCGACATCACCGCCAAAGTGAAGGACACACTTTTGTAGGTATAAAGCACAGATACATGGAGCGCACAAGGGGGCGTCTAGGGAAAGCGTCCTCCTTCCAATTGTATAAACAGATTCTCCTGTACCGGCCTCCCCTGCCTGGCCTCCCCTGCCTGCGTGTGCTTTCACTCCCGAGTCCCCTTCTAGCCACCACCGCTCCCGCTAAAGGCCTCCGGAGAAACTGTGTGTCCCCTTGTGATAATGCAGGGTCCAACAGTTCTGCCTGCCCTGCTGGTGCTTCCAAACGATGCTGCTGGAATGCCAGCTCTGACGTTCACCAACATCTTTCCCTCCTTCTTCTATTATCTGGGGGCCTTCAGAACACTCTCCAGTGCTCGCGGAGGGATATGGGGTGTGAGTCACAACTTTCTCCTCCGTGTCAACTCCTGAGATAAACTAGTGACCTTCGCCTCAACTTTAATTCAATCGCCACCTGTAGTTACCTTGTTAGCTGTAACTACTGTCGGAAAACGAACCGAGACCTTACTGTCACCCGCCGGTGACCATTCCCTCCTCCCAGCACTCCTGCACTTTATCCTCACAAAGACGTTCGGTCTTGCTCCCTCCATGATTTACAAGTGGATCAGCTTGTTCTCTAATTTACTCCCTTTCCCATCCTACAACACATTAGTGCTGAGAAGGCAGACTGAAATAACTTCCGGCCTCATCCGCTCTGCTGTACACAGCCAGAGCATGCATTCTCTCTCATCTTTGTTATCACCAGCACCCAACATACTGCCTGGCAGAGAGTAGGTGCCTAGTAAACATTTGAAAAATTCAACAGATGAAATATAATACGAAGACTAAGACAAGGTGTTTAACTTATGAAGCAGTAACATTCTCTTACCTACTAGTGTGAAAGTTTTCTTTAATAGTTTTAAAGAAATCAACATAATAGGTCACAGCAATGGATGCCAATATCCAGAATCCAGAATGGATATTAAGTCTTGGAAGAGGCTGCTCCTTTTGCTCAACGGCTGTAATGGTTTCTGTAAGTAAGAGAGATTTCGACTGATTAAACTGCCATACTTTGAGGAAAAATTACATGCCATTTTAAGCCAAATGAAATAATATCCTAGTGTTTTCTAAGAACCAGATTCTCTCCCATTGTAGCACCAATTTCTTCTCCAAAACCGTCAAAAGATTATTTTTGCAGAAATAATTACCAGGAACCCACTATAAAACATGTCCAATATAGTCAACTTCTTAATTCTAAATGAATTTTGAAATCAAATTTACATATTCAGAAAGATTGATGCCATCTGTTAGTGTAGAGATTTTAATATTATGTTTCATATTTCATCTAAGAAAGTAATTAGTCCTATTAGGAAAAATGCAAAAAAAAAAAAAAAAGGCAAATATTAGCGTACAAAATAGACTTGTGATTTCCAAAAATACTACTTATAACTTATTTCTTTTATTTTAAACAACCTTTTGAGGCCGCTCAAAAGCATAAATGGCACACTGCAGGTCTAATCCTAGCACAGATATCTAGACAGGTGACGTTCCAGTCAAATTTCTTCCATCTGGGACCCAACCTGAAAGAATAGGTGACTGGGATTGGATCAAATGAGTTCCTTCTGACAAGTTCCCCAGGTGACTGACAGGCCTGCTCTCTGGGTTCCTGTGAGAGCCACCGTATATATCTGAGGTTCTCGACATTTGGAATTCCTAAGAAGCTCGTTCCTAATACAAGTTCTTGGATGTAATACCCTCAAAATTTATAAACGAGCATGCCTGAGCACTGTTTTCTTCTGTTATTTTAAATTTCGCATTAGTTTCAGGTATACGTACAACGATTAGACATTTATGTAATTTATGAAGTCATCCCTCCATTACTCTAGCACCCACCTGGCACTACACACAGGCGTTACAGTGATACCGACCACAGTCCCTACGCCGTATCCACATCCTGTGACTGTCGCGTAACTACTAATTTGTGCGTCTTCATCCCTTCACCTTTTTCACTCAGGCCCTCAACCTCCCACCGCTCTGGCAACTTGTGCTTATTTTTAAAAGGTAATAAATGCACGAGGTTTACAACATACAGGACTAAAAGACAGAAAATGAAATCCATTTCTCCCAGTCCGCCTGCCCAGAAGCAACCGCCAATTTCGACTTTTATGGAACGCTTCTATATGCCATGCACCTCCAGAAAAACACACGTCAGACCTTTTCTGGTTTGTACCCAAACGGTGGTATATCATACTTTGTTCTGTGCCTCCCTCTGAAAATCATCCACATCGGTAGGTAAAAGTCAGCCAGATGTGTTGTGTATAGATCCATGCTAATGTGTTTAGCCGGATTTCCGCTGACAGGAAACTAGATGTCATTACAAGCGAGGTGAAACACCTGACACACACGCCCCTGTGTACCGGTGGGTTGGTTCTCAGAATTAGAACCGGTGGCTGTTACCAAACAGGTGTTAGACCGGCGTTGCCGGGAATACTAAAACGCAGCCTTACGTGAACACGCGCAGGGCTACGTGATCTCCAAGGATCTTTAAAGGTACTAAATACCCGACTTGCAAAACAACTTGGTATAAGCCCTGAGGAACGAAACGCGATCCCTCCTGGCGGGGCAGGGCTGCGGGCCTCGCCTCCGGGCACCTCGGCGCGGCTCGGAGCGCGCCCGGGAGAGCGCCTCACCCGGCCTGGCGTGGCCCTCGCCGTCCAGCGAGGCCTTGGCGTCCGACGAGAACGGGTATCGCCTCCGGAGATGCTCGCGGGCCCGCAGGGCATCCATCTCGACGCTCCCAAGAATCGCGGCGGAAGTGACGTCAAGCCCACCGGAACTTCCGGCAGCGGCTTCCGGGCGGAAGGGTCTCTCTTTAGCTGAAGGGTGGAGACCGTAGTGTCTTGCAGGTTTTAATTGGTGAGAATCTGGGGCGGAGTTTGCGTCGCCACCTCCGCGCGCTCAAGTCCGCAACCCTGTCTTGGATTTGAAAACACTGATCCTCTCCTGGCCAAGATTGTCCCATTTTCTTTCGAAGGACCGAGCTTTCGGGTCCCGCTAAAGGCGCGCCGGGCGGGGAGGCGCGGCGAGACTTTGAAAGGGCCGAGAGCAACGCTCGGAAGAGGAGAGGGCCGCCGGGCCAGGCCTGGCACTGACCACGTGGGTGGACTTGGGCAAGAGAGAATCCTCTCCGGGCCTGTTCCCTCCGGGAATACACGTGCCTCGTGTTTGCTGTGGGGTTCAAAGGCGAAGGACCGGTATGTTCATGTTAATCCCCGCTTTCTAACTTCTGAAAAGTTGTCCCAGCTGGGAACGTGGGAGCTAAATTTGTATTTTCCCAGAAAACTGCCATTTCCCATCACTCAGGCTCAAACCGGAAAAGACTGTGTATCACAAATTCACAAGTTTTTCTCCATCGAGAAACCTATTTATTACTCTCCTACCCACTTCCTACAGCGTCATGTTTGAGAAGTTTTGTGCTTAACCATCGAAGCGTTCCCTGAGCACCTACTCATTGTTAGGAACCGTTAGGCTCCATGCTAGGCAGTGGAGATAAATGAGACATGACCTTACACTTGAGCTCCTGGACCAAAACAAGACCACAGAGACATACTACAATGTGTTGCAGTACTTAGAAATGTACGGAAGCAATTCACGAAAATCGACAAACATTTTCTGAGCAGCTAAAACTCTGAGAAAAGAGGTAAATTAGAATCTAGTGGAGAAGATTTCAATACAATGCCATGCTAGAAACTCTGTACATGAGGTTATGCGAGGACCAAATGAAGGACAGGGTATTCTTCTGGTGCGGGGGTGGGGGGTGGGGAGAGACAGGAAAAGCAGCTTCAGGAGTGCCACCCAGGAAGCAAAATTTGAATTAGTTGGATCTCTTTTACGTCTTTTATTTGTCTTGGATATTTATAGAAGAAATGTAATAAGAAATCAAGAAAAGAATGTGAAATTTCTGCTGGTTTATTTCTGTCATTTCTTCAGCCTTTCCAGCAAACGCAGTGGAGCAAAGGACTAACAGCTGGGTGGATCATATGGCCTTTCTACACAATACCTCCTCTTTCCTGCGGTCTCCTAAAGAACCAGGGTCCCACTGTTCAAAGCCAGCTGGGGTCTCTGCTCTTTCTTCTCTCTTGTACAGGGTTAGAAGCCTTGTTAACAGGAAGTGAATTTCTCCTATCAAATACAGTCTTCTGTTCATTGTCTCCTTGCAAAAAGGTCAGTGCCGGGTCTCCCTCGTAACCGAATATTCCCGAGAGCGTCGCAGCAATTCCAGGGTTTCCATATGTAGTATGTTCAGGTCAGATCCGGTTTCCCCTTTGGTGGTTTCGGGGCCTTTGTGTTTGGGTCTGAACTCCTTCCAGCTTTTTCCCCCTGATATTTTCAAGGGCACTGCTTGCGCACCATATTGATGATACTTAAAAGCAGGCTGGAAAACATCCAGTATGTAATGACCACATCTTCATTGTTGGAGCCCATTAAATAAGTTCTTCAGTGCGTGCACTGTGTACCTTACTGGTGGATATGTGATAGCAGTGTGTTGCCAACCAAGAGATTTTCCTTTGCGGTGTAGATTACCAGTGGGGAAGAATGAATTTGACTATGACCTTTGCCGGCTTGCTGGCATAACAACATGGTTAAGTCCAGAGTGTTTATAGACTACTGAATCCCGCCTCCATCACTCTGGGTCCCTGGGCAAGTTATTCGTTGTTCTGAGTATGCATTTACTCATCCACGGCACAGCAGGTACCGGAGTGAAGGTAAACGTATACCGATTGCTTGGCACGTGGTATTCCTTCAAGCAGTGGTAGTTACTGCTCATTACTACTGAACCCGGCCTGCCAGGCTCCCAGATTTGGCTCCTACTCACCTCCTGATCAGCTATTCCCACATCCACTAGTTACTCTTTGTTGTAATTTCTCTTTTGCCTGTTCTCTCCCCAGTTGATGAGGGCAGCAGCTATGTTTTGGTAGCTCCCCAGTGCCTTGCATACACCTGGTATATAGCAGGAATTCCATTACCCAGTTTTCACTTTGGCCCTTGATCCCAATTTACTGGCCGTTGGTGTGGACATATGGCCGCCCAGCATCCCTTCCTTTGAGAATCCACTTTTCCTCCTTTCTGCAGTAGTCCTGCAGCATCATCAGGAGGCTAGGAGAGGGCGCATGGCCCAAACCACATCTGCAGTCCCCAGGACTTAGGCTGGGGCCATTGGGAAGACCTTCTCTGTTGGTATGGTGAGCTGTGAGGTCGTGCGGGCTTGGGGCTGCCCATATGTCCGCCCAGCATCCCTTCCTTTGAGAATCCACTTTTCCTCCTTTCTGCAGTAGTCCTGCAGCATCGTCAGGAGGCTAGGAGAGGGCGCGTGGCCCAAACCACATCTGCAGTCCACAGCACTTAGGCTGGGGCCATTGGGAAGACCTTCTCTGTTGGTATGGTGAGCTGTGAGGTCGTGTGGGCTTGGGGCTGCCACCATGGAGACACATGGAGGGGGCCCACCTAGGAAGGAAGCTCTAAGATGCAAGCCAAGGGCCCTGGTAGTGTTGTCCCAAGTTCTGAATAAAGCCAGGCCCTAGTTCACCTGGTTAAGAACACGTGTTCTGGAGCCAGCTGCCCGGCTGGCTGTCCTTACTGGTTCTGTCATTACTGACTGTTTCGGCCTTGGGCAAGCCACTCATCCTCTCCTTTGCCTTCATTGCCTCACTTGAAATATGGGGTTAAGAATAGTACCTACCTCACTGGATTGGGTAGAGATTAAAAGTATTAATACATGCAAGGCCCTTAGAACAGTACCTGACCCATCGAAAGCCCCTCAATAAGCCTTAACTGTTGTTATTATGTGGTATTGAGATGTCACAGATTTCTTAGTCCCCCCCTCAAAAATATTCCTTTTTTAAAATGATTGCTAATTTGAGTTGTTCTTTGTTACGTGCAACCCTGAGGCCAGGCCAACACAGCCCTGTTCCCTCATCGTGCCATGCAGTTGCCCCCGTGGCCCCCCGTGGGACTATGACTCCATGTATCAGTTCATACGTGTAAAGAGAAACACCCGACACATGAAAAGTGCTCGTAAATGTTATATCTCACCTGGGATACCACCCTTCACTCCAAGAAGAAAGCCATTTTTTTAAAAAAAAACTTCCCTTAATTACGTAAATAATACATGTCTCTCTTTCTACACAACTCTGTTTCCCTGATGAAAGCTGTGGAATTGGAATTGCTATGTCAAAAGGCGTGGACATTTTAAAGGCTTTCGATCCATCTTTCACACTGGTTCCGGAAGAGGTGCGCTGTTCTTTACAATCCCTCCAGCAGTGGGCGGGGGAGACCATGACAGGCGCACCCACAGGCTTTATCACTCTGGTCAGTTCTTCCCAACTGATCATGGGAGTTTGGGGAATAATCTGCCATTTTAATGTTCTCAAGTTAAAACAAAACAAAAAAACAAAAGTGGGGGAGTGAAAACACTAGCCTTTCAAGATTAGCTACAGAGAGCAGAGCACCTGGGGGGCGGGGTGTGGTAAGGACAGCCACATCAGGAATCACGCACCACGGCTCGGACACAGCCCTAAAGAGACCTGATACGAGGGACCTCAGCCCCGGCAAGGAGGGCCCTCGGAGTACAGGACTGCTGTCATGGCAGCGTTCCAGAACCACGGGCGCTCCTTACAGACCCACGGTTCTCCAGCTGGTTGAAATACTGTGCCAGGTGGTTTTGTGGGACATGAAATGCAGGTAAATTAAGCGAAAAATAACCAAGTGCTCTAAAAGTGTATGCCAACTGTCGTAACATCTAAAAACTGGAATTGCGTGGGAACAAGTGCCAAGAGGCTTAAGAAAGTTTATGCGGGACACCTTAAATTTGAGAAAATTCCGTTACCTTAACCGAAACCTAGCAGAGATCGTCGACTGAATTTTAGCCGTAAAATACCTCTGTTCAGGGTCACTGCTGGAGCAGGGCTCTCCAAGGTTCCCGTCGGCGTCCTGGTGCAAACTTGGTGGTGGATCCCAAGAGCCACACTGTTGGAAACTACCCAGAAGAACAGAGTCTTTACTTCCTTTGCTCTACGATGGAGAAATCCAATCTGTGGGCAACCTCTGGCCTCAGCAGAAGTCAGCGTGGGGTCGCCAGGCAGGCAGAGCCGCAGAGGCGGTGTTCTGCAGCTCACCATACCCACCCTGCGGCCAAAGCAAGACCTGACCCTCGCAGAAGTCCGACCTCTCAACTCTGAGCAACGCACGTATTCACCCAGCAATTACCATTTAAGTCACCAAAGGGGCCGTTTAATCACTTGTATCAAGGGGAATACATGAAAGCTTCCCTGGACCCCCTAACAAACAAAAAAAAAGCTAAACCAGCCTTTGCAGTAAAGAGAGCTGCCCTTCTCACCACCCGTTTCTCAGAAACCTTCACTGTTTTGTAGCCAAGACGGAACGGCCAAGTCCAAATTACAGAAGCTGGAAAGTATCATGATAAGTGAGCTGAGAAAGATCTTGAGTTTCTTTAGGTGTTGAAAGGGCAGTGGTAGAGTGCCTAAGATGCCGTTTGTTAAGCTACAGGCTGACAAATGACACCAGGGAGCTAGGAGAATCAGTTTTCAGGAGTCGGATAACGATCTAAGATACACTGCCAATAGCGTTCACTACTGGAGATGAATTGGATAAAACCACTGATTTCTTAAACTTTCCTTATTCAACTGCAGAAGTGCTACCTAAAAGACAACGATCTATACCAGAGGCTGCTCCGCTCCCCCGCCCCCCAAGCCAAGACCTAGAAATCCATTTTGGAAAACAGGTACTTACAGGCTAGTGAGATTATAAATTGTTTTAATAGGACCTGGTCAGCTCAAGTTTTCATTTTCAAAGAGAAATGACACGCTTAGAAGAATGAGAGCTTTTCAAAGATATTCATTCATAATCTACAGACCTGTGAAAATGCCATTCATCTGGGCTTTGATTATTAGCTTCCTCTCATAACCGCCCTGCGGGGTGCGTGGGAACAGGGGGCAAGGACAGGGTCTCTGCAAGCCTTTCCTCAGCGAGGCCACCTTACCTCACTCAGCAGCAAGCCACCCTACCTGCCCGAACCAAAGCTGACCTGGGGAAGTTGAGTGATTCCGCAGTTTTTAAACTACCTCCGCACGCACGCCCCTCTGCCATGAGCCTGCATCGCAGCCGGTCAGAGGGAAGGTGGCCCTGGGTGCATCCCGCGTGGCCTCCCGCTCTGTTCTGAGCCTTGGCTTCCTCATCAGACTGCAAAGCGCCCCGTGTGCCGGACACTGAGGACCCCAGCCCACGACAGCCGCACAGGTTCATGTTTTGGAGAGCAAGACAGCCCCACCTCTCCCAATCCTGCTCGTAAGCAGTGTCACAGGAAATGGCCAGTGCGCCGCTGCCGAATGCCACGAGTGCCAGAAAGGGAGGTATCGGCTGAGAAAAACCGTCAGTGTGTCTCCGGCAGGTTTGGGGAAACCCGCGTGCCAGACCCATGACGCCGGTGTGAGGGCAGGCAGGGCACAGTGGGATTCGGGCTTCCACTCAGCTTGCACACGGTGACGCTGTAGAGCTTGCTGCGGATGGCATCGGATGGGTTTCTGAAGTCCCTG